ATCGATCGAGTTTTTGGCAATGGAAAAACATAATGGAAATTGATATGTTTCAAAGAGTTTTGATAAATTTGGATAAATTTGAATAAAGTGGAAAATATTCCACTGGAAATATGTTTTCAATCTTTAATTAATATAAGGAAATATAAGGAAAAAATTTGGAAAATTCTAAGTTTGAAACGATATTTTGGAAATTTTTGAAATAACTTCGAAGACTTGGAATGGAAAATGGAATTCTTGAAATTAACAAGAATTTCGGGCCTCCCTAATCTTCGATGACCCAAATATTTTCTCTTCTGATTGATGCAGAATTGCAGTAAGCGATCAGTCGTGCTCTTTCATCTACATTTCTTTCAAAAAAATTATAATTCGATAAAATAATGAATCGTGATTGAGGAATTAAAAAAGAATTTATAATGATAAAAGGAAAAAACAAATATATAGAAGAGAAAGCAAACTTTAAAAATCTTTGTAAAATTTCCTTTGTTAAGTTTCTTAAGAATTGTATAAAAATTACTGGAAAAAATTGTCACGATAGTTTACTGATTTCTGTTATGTTGTCCTGATTTATCTATCTAACGTACGCTTTTTAACATTGTCTCTCGAGGTTAGTCCACCGATTGATCCATGCTCTACTTCCACTTCTCTATTTCAACTTTACTTCGTTGAATTGGAGTACTTGATCGAAAAAGATGATTCTTACATATATCGATTGCGATTCTAGCACACCACATCTTCCTTGACCTTGTCCCCCAAGTTTCCACATCGTCGTTTTGTCGTTTGGCACAATCCACGTCTCTCTGTTCATCAATCAGTCGAACGTACTGGGGCGGTCCACTCGCCCAGAATTCGAAACCATCGATATGTATGTATGTAAATATTTTTCTTCCATAAGTATTCCATCTATCTTGCCATACATATCATCGAATTCTTTATATTATTCTCACTATTCCAAATAACTGATATCGAGTGTTAAATCGTATAAGAAAAATGTAGAAACAAAGAAAAATCAAGAAAATTAAAAACGGATCGCGAGTGTGTTGAAAACAGAGGAAAGAAAGAGGAAAAGGAAAAAGAGAAAAGCAGAGTTCGATAGCGCACCACGCGACCGCAATGATGATCATTCCAAGAATAGACATCACCGATATTGTACGTATTAAAGAATGGATGATATTGCGTATTCTGAATCGTTACCGATAAAGATTTAATATCCTATGAAACGTGGCCGATCTTCGTTATCTTCGATGGCTAAGCAGGGTGGTTCCGTCCATCGCGTTTCTGGATCGTATCGCCCCGAGGATCGATCGTGGTCGGGTGCACACGCGCTGACCGGTTGCGGTACGCGTTCGGGCAACGCGTCCCGGACACGTTTCGCCAATTCCGAACAGAGAGAATCGCGATTAACAAGACGAGCGATATCGAGGCGAATCTTCCATCGAGGATTGATTCTTGTTCTCAGCTTGTTGCAATTTTACTTTTTAGTCCTCGTTTCCAACCTTGATCTTTCAAAGTAGCAAACGTTGTTCTAATCTACACATGCCTGATCGTCCTTGCCAATCGTGCGTAAGTATGCGACGAGACTCGCGCGCGCGCTGATCAGCATATATACCCACGCACATAGGGTTTTCGAAACCCAGCCGTATGGTAGGCTGTCCGAATGGCAACTGAGACTCACCCTTTGTGGAGGCGCTGACTACCCCAACCCCGATACCGTTATCCCCTCCATACATAGTTTCTCCCACCACTCGGTATCCTTCTAATCCCCGTGGCGCGGCGCTCGCGCTCTTACATTATTTCGACTCGCGATTCCTTCAGATTTCCTTCTCTTCGCAAGGTTAGAAACAAATTTTCTTTCTTCTTTCAGCTTCCCTTTATCGAAATGTTGTTTCAATTGGTTCGATTAAACAGAGAAAGTTTTTCGATTTTAATAAGTAATAAATAATAAGTAAAAATTGCGCAAAGAAAATTTAATTTGCAAAACGTGTAATAACCTTTTTGCACACTGTTTTTCGAAAAATAAAAACATCTAATTAGAATAGCTTTAATTAATTAACAAACAGGATTTTTCTTAGTTTCAGTTGTAGCGTCACGAAGAGTTTAAATATTATTTCATTAAGGAGGATCTCATATTAGAATATAAAAGGAAATATTCATAATTTAAAACAAATTCTTAATCACAATGTTATAAATATTTAAATTTTGTCAAAGGAAAATTAAACGAATTCTGAAAATTCAATAAAAAACATTTTATACGGAAAGGATTAAAAAAATACGTTAAGGATACGTGACGAAGAAAATTGTCGTCGTATCACGTTTCGTGCCACGTGGATCACCGTTGACCCACATTTCTATTCTACGTCGCGAAGAACATTTACTTCCATCAAACAAACAAGGAATGAAAACAATACGAAATTATACAAAATTATATATAAATTGAATATAGATCATAATATTACCATATTTTTATTCAAAATTAAATTTCAACATTGTTAAACACTCAAAATACTTGTTATTTTATTACAGAATAGAGAATAGACTCGAGTGAGAATTTCCAACATTTCTCAGTAAATTTGGATTCATTGGGTTTATTGGATTAATGGAGATACAATGCATGTACGTGCGTGTACACGCGGCAAGAATTCGTGAGTGGAAAAGAGACAGGTTAGAGCCAGAGGCGTCTCGTTATCCGCGAATTTCCGGCCGAGCTGTTTACGGCTTCAACCAACGATCTTATAATTATTTAAACAATGTATAACTACAACGTTGCTTGACTTTAAGTGTTACTTCCTCCAAACATATTATATTAATGAAGTTTCCTTCCATATTCTATCTTAAAAGCGCGAGAACTTTTTTAATTGAAATTTTTTTTATTTTCTATTAAAATGATGAATAATTAATAAAGTTAATGAAGAAAATATTTTTCACATAATAAGGAAGATGTGAGTTTTAAGAAATTTCAAGAAATGCTTAATTCTTCGAATTCTGGCTATCTGTTTAAATTTCGAAGAGACTCTCTATAAAGTATTAAAATATAATAAAATGAAATGGAAAGATGAAATATAACTTTTATATTAACTATTATACAAATATGTTTCTTTTTTTTGTTTTTTTTTTGAATTAGAGATTATAATACTATAAATGAAAGAATATTTTTTATAAAAATAAAAATTACAAAAAATGATAAATTTATTGGCATGTTTCTGAAAAAAAAAAGAAAAAACTTGAAAAATGGAAAAAAATGAAAAAAGAATAAAGAGAAAAGAAGAGAGAGGGATGGAAGTTCGATCGAAGTTGTTGAAAAGAGGGCGCCACCTTACTGATCGTTTTATTTTCATTGGTTTTTGCGAAATGTACACTTGCTCTATCGCAGTAGTGATCTACATTTATAAAACCTAGAATTAAAATAAAAAATAAAAGTAAATTAAAGCATAATTCGTAGCAATTATTCGATTAATATATACTATCTATTGAATCTATCTATTGTATTTATTTGAAAGTAAAATTCTTCTCAATTGTTCTCGAAAATAATATTTCATGAATGTTTGGAATTACTTTAATAAATTACTATAATAATAATAATACTTTAGATAAAATCACATTCAATGGAATACGTACTAGTGGGAATTAATTTCTAAAATCAAATTTCGAGAATTCTATTTTTAAACGAATTTATATTTTAATATCTTTCGGAAAGATGAGATGATTCGATGATATTATATAAAAAAAGAGTGTGATAGCTTCTGATTTATATTTTCCTATATAGAATATTTACACAAGCGCATATGTACACTCTTTGATTCTCTAAGACACTAATTGCGAATCACGTCTGGCTGGCTCTCGAGGCACTAAATTAATTAATGGCATACCAAATGACGAGTCGTGCGAAGATTCGCTCGGCGAGCCCTCATTGCCTGAAAAAAGCAAAATAATACGGCATACGATCGTGCCACGAATATCAATGCTTCTTTCGTTGTCATCAAGAAGCAGAGTCTCATGCTCGTTAACTATGTATCATCCTATCGTTTTTTAATTTCCCTCGTTCTTTTCTTTTTTTCTTTTACTTTGCCTTACTTTTTTCAATTTTTTTCAATTCTCTCTTTTACCATCAGAGTAAATTATATACGTTGCAATATCGTAGCTCACGGATATATTTAATACGTGTATTTAATTACTGTCATAATTGTATAAATAGTTCTAATAATACATGTCGTCTCCAAGAAGTCTCTTCTATATTGAATCATAACTCGAAGAAAGATATCACCATTATTTTTCTACATCATAAAAATATTCAAGAATAGTAACAGTGAAATCAGCCAAGATATTTCATTTAATCCCATATTTTCTCGTAAAAATTTTATGAAACAGCATTGTGATCCATAATTCGCTCGAGGTATTATGAGGTAATCGAGAAAAAAAACATTAACTTGTATTTATCCTTCTTTGTCAACAATTCAACTCGCGTTTGATCGTAGTTCGCAAGAATCGAATGAATTCGCGAAGAAGTAAAAAAAAAAAAA